TATATGAAATGTGGCTTATGCATATGTAATCCGTAATCCCTGAGTCTCCTTTTAACACTTTGACATTTGGTCACGGTCACTCTAGTGACCATGATGACCAATCCTGGTCTAACTGAGGGAACCGGTGACCTACATGTACTCAGTGAGCCTTTAGAAATGATACTGAGGGATTGCATAATACAATACTTCTGATAGGTTGACAGCATGCAGCGTCACTAGACATCTCTAGCATGAACCGTGCACAGTGCCATTTCAAAGGCCGTGAAAAAGAAAGCTTTCAAACTTTGATATAATCATCAAACACTTTATTTCCATGCAAGCAAAACTGTGGCTTTCGTAGGAGGCAAATGGGACCATGTGCAACGCAGAGACCCAGACACTTCTCCCTCTCTGGTGGCACACACCCTACTCCCTGAAATTTAAGGAGACAACCACAAATCGTCAGCGACAACGACCACCACCACCACAGTCAAGCGGTAGCGACAGCAGTGGCAACTCAGGTTTTCTACATGTGGCGGCTTACTTTTTCAACTCGTCAATAAATTGACCGACGTGGTCCATAGTGAGGGACAAGTCCAAGGCCAACTCATAAAGCTCCTTGTTTTTGTACACTAGACTGCTGATCTTAAAGAAGAACATTTTATTAGATTCTCGTTCCTGATTTTTAAATTTAAATGAAAGCGTACTTACAGTGCAGAAAGATATGGGCAGATGCCACTTGTCTTGGAAGGTTTCCTTCAGCTCCTTCAAGCGGTCCGGATATGCCGACAGCTGCAACATTTCAGGGCAGACTGATGTGTCTTTGACGACAACACACGCAGTCACGTGCATGCCATGCCCGTTAGAGAAATTAAATGCCTCACCGGCTTCATTTCCTCCGGCCGTGGAGCCCTCAGTAGGCTTGCAGTTTTACATGTGTGCACGCCGAAGAAAGTAAATAGGTGAGACTTACTTCACCATCTTTGCGCTTGGGGGACTTGCTTCTGCCCTCCGGTGACACGCCTTGTGCCGCTGCGCCTTCACCTGTAATGTCAAGAGGGACACCGATGTCTTGAGCATCACTGTGATGGGGGGGTCAATCAATTGACTTGGCTATACTTTGTCATTTGCATCTCTTACCTACGGCAGGAGCTTCGTTCCCCTTGGTGGTACTGCTGACCTGCTCTTCATCAATCTCAGCCATGATGTATGAGACTACCAAAGACAACAAAATTAATTTAACCTCCTTATACCTTCCGTAAACCCTATCCTCTACTTTCGAGCATTGTAGGGATTACGGAATCATGTCAAGAACCTTCTAGAAGTCTCTAAGCACGATGTTGGAGAATAAACTCGATTGTACCGTTACACACGACCTACACCCGGCACATTTTCGTGTGACCGAATATTTCCCAATGGCTGTTTTAATCAAGTGCGGCATGTCGCTCACATTTAGAGATTTAAAGTCTAAACATCTTGCTCTGAGATAAACAGTGAGATAGCTTAAAACTGTCAATGTGTCGAATATTGAATGTGACAGACAGAAAAGTTTCACGTTACTTACTAAGGGCCGATTCGAGACGTGCAATCTGCAGCCAGTCAGACATGCGTACAGCTGTTTTGCAGAGGGTTCTGAGCGCACCACAAAGCACATTCTGTACTGTCCCCCTGCCTCTCCATACTGAGCCTTTCACCCAATGGATGCCTAAAGTTAATGAATAAATTAGCATGTCATGAATATTTTATGAAGATGCAGCTTTTGTATGGAAGCCTAGGTAATCTGTAATAGATATGTAGGGGATGCGGCCTCAGCGACAAGCAGTAGGGAATCCCTAATGTCTATGTAGGGGATGCAGCCTCAGCAATGAACAGTAGGGAATCCGTCATCTGTATGTAGAAGATGCAGCCTCAACAATCAACAGTAGGGGGCACGTTATCCTTAATTATGACATGCGGCCTCAGCAGCAAACAGTAGGCAATCCATCATCTGTATGTAGGGGACGCGGCCTCAGCAATGAACAGTAGGGCACCCGTAATCTGTATGTAGGAGATGCGGCCTCAGCAATGAACCTTAGGTAATACCTTATGTCTATGTAGGGTATGTGGCCTTCGCAGCAACACGTAGGGCTTATGTTCCCCATATCTATGGGATGCGGCCTCGGCAACAAACAGTGGGGCATCCGTCACCCATATG